GCATTATTTAGAGTATGGCAAAACACAAGTTGCATTCATGATATACTATATAAATCGATGGTCATCTTGATTGAATGTTACACTTTCCAATAACTATGCAGATTATGAAATTACTCACTTGAATAGAAGACAGTTGTGACATCTAGTATGGTCGGTGAACACTTGAGACAACTCACGTGGATTAAAATAATTCATCTAGTGTGTTTTAATATGAAAATAAATCGAATTCATGACTGAAAGCACTTGAGATCACTTGAATATCATCAGAAATTCCAGTAATTTCCACTTATATAAATCATCTGCTTCGGAGGTCCAGGGCAGCGACGAGAGGTTGTAACACTGACATTTTATATCCTAGGTATTTCTACATTCCCTGTACAATGTGTTGAAACTTTAATCCACAAATTACAGGCATGTATGCATTCCAGGCAGAACAACTGATGATCGGACACCTACGAGCTGGTATTACAGTTCAAGAGATGTTGGAATTCGCATATCATTCCTATTTGAAATTCAATAGGGAAACGTAAATGATAGAGTTCATGTGAATTGGCTCAGGCAAGCCCAGAATTTTAGGCAGTGATGTGAAAAGAAAGACACTTCAGATCCCACTACAAATCATTCCCGACCTACAGCTGCTACCTTGACGTGGTGGTCAGGCTTGCATATCACAATGACCCAACGAGCTATGCTGGTGGAACACTTGTTCCCTCAAGGTCCTACCATACCAGAAAGGTCTGTTGGATAGTGGTTAGACGAAAAGCAGTTACCGTTATAGTGTAAATTGCTACACTATGATGGGGGTCTGAGGGCGAAGTCGTACTGCAGCTAGCATTAATCTGCACAGAACTAAAAATGCCAGCATTCTAGACGCAAGTGATAAACTAATATGCCGATTACTTAAGCATGCTACACTCATTCTGATAATTTTTAAAGATGGGGACGATAAGTAAACTCAGTGAAAAGTTAAAGGACATTCATCTAACCATATCCTATTTATGAATTCTGGAAATCACCTGTTATAGTTACAACTGCATCTCAAAAAACGGTTGAAGGGAGTTGTGTTTTCTGAGTGCCTTAGAGAATGGTAGTACCTGGAAGTTTTTCTGGATGGCTCCTTTGGTAGGCTGTAGAGTATTTACTGAAAAAGGAGACACTAGGGAATGAAAAAATTTTCCAACCCTACAAACTTCTCTACACAGTTTTTATGAAATACAGTGATTGATATCAATGAACAACTGAGCTTTCTGGTGGAAGGAATATAAAAGTAGATACTGTTGAATCAATGTAAGTTGGAACTAATTTGCAACCATCGATATCCTTGGATGGCTTCCTCTATCATTAAAACATTAAAGGATAGACAAGCAAGATATAAGAAGAACCTTGCACATAGGTTCACCGGTTCAAGTTGTCAAACTTCAGTGTAGCATGCAAACAACAAATGGATAGAAAAACAGTGATATCAAAGTAGAAAAAGGTGTATGACATGAGAGGGATTTTAAAAACTAATAATAATAATGATCATGCTCAAAAGGCTGAGTGTGACAGGCCCCAAGCAGATGTCCGATGGGCTCTGCGGTCACACAAATCTCTTCCAGGTAGGCGCCTTTAGAAGAAATAGCCTTCCAAGGTATGGGCAGCCGGGAAGTGTCAACCACCCTCACAACTCTGTCAGCACTCAAGTTTCTTCTGACTGCTATCCACCTCCTCCATCATTACCTTCTAATCTTCCTTCACGTCTCTTAATTAATGATGCTGTATCATCTTCAATTTCTCCTACCTCTACAGCCTTCGACAATGATCTGAGTCCACAGAACAGCATCACTGGTCTACTTAAACCACGCTCCAAATTACATATTGGAGCCTTCAATGTCCGCACCCTCCGTCAAATTGGTCAACAGGCTTCGTTAGCAAAGACTCTAGCGACTCGAGCCATGGATGTGTGCTGTGTTTGTGAGACACGCATACAGGACCCAAGTGTGGTTATTCACCTGACCTCTCCTGACCAATCTGGTGAATCCGCAAAATTCACCCTTCGAGTTTCTGGAGATTCGATAGCTAGCTCTCGTGGTCTTGCAGGTGTAGGTATAGCATTAAGCACTAGGGCAGAAAGCTCACTACTAGACTGGATCCCAGTTGATAGTCACCTCTGCGCTATGAGGCTGAATGGCACAGTAAGAACTAAAAGGAATAGTGAGATTCGCCGTTGTCTCTTTGTAATCTCTGATTGCGCACCCACTGACTGCAGCTATTAGTCATAGCTGGAGAGGATCGGTGGAAGACTGCCGCTCCTTCTGGAGTACGTGTTTGGACAGCGATCATGCGTTGGTCCGAGCACGTATATGCCTGCGTCTCAATGGACGTAGAAAAAATTTGGCAACAAAACCACTACGAGTTCTGCTGGACAACGAAAACACCAAAGCCGTGTTCAGTGAGAAGTTGGCTAGGCAGTTATCGGAACAAAAGACTGTCACTCATCCAGAAGAAGCTTGGTGCCATCTTCAGTCTACTGTAAAAGCAGCACTGGAGACTGTAGCCGACTCCAAGATAATGGCTAAAAAGAGCCAGTGGATATCAGCAGCTTCTTCCAAACTAATGGATGCACGTGAATGCATCCCTGCAGGCTCTGAGTACAATGAAGAGCGAGCGCAACTTAAAAATAACTGACGAAAAGTCTGCGCAACGATCGTGAACAGTGGTGGGCAGGAAGGCTAAAGAGATGGAAAAGGCAGCGGCGATCGGTAACAGTAGACAGTTATTTAGACTTATTAAGGAGACTGGGGGGAAATGGTCAACAACAGTTAGTGAGGTTATAGCGGAGAAGGACGGATCTGCGATTCACTCGCAGGGAGAAGACTGGGACGATGGGCAGAACACTTTGAGGAACAGTTTAACTGGCCTCCAGCCACCATTGCGCTGCCCGCTATCCAGTCGGACCCTGAATGGGACATAGAGACAGGTCCCCCAACACTAGAAGAAGTTGAGAAAGCGGTAGGTAGCCTGAAACGGGAAGGGCAGCAGGACCAGACGGACTACCTGCTGAGGTATACAAGAATGGTGGTAGAGTTCTCTTAGTCAGGCTAACGGAAGTGTTAGCCAGTATATGGGAATCAAATACGATCCCCTCCGACTGGTCTAAGTCACTCATCATCCCAGTCTTCAAGAAAGGCGAGAAGTCCTCTTGTGATAACCACAGAGGAATCAGCCTGACAAACAGGTTCTATAATTCTCCGACGCCTGAGTGGAGCTCGGGAACAGCAAGCCCGAGAAAACCAGGCAGGCTTTAGACCTGGCCGTGGATGTATCGACCAAATATTCACACTGCGCCAGGTCCTGGAACATAGGCATGCTTACAGACGCCCGACAATAGCTGTATTTCTCGACCTGAAGGCGGCATTTGACTCCGTTGATCGAGAAGTCTTATGGCAGTGTCTGTCACTGAAAGGCGTGCCTAGTAAGTACATCACCTTATTGAAAGCTCTCTACTCGAACACTTGTGGGCATGTTAGAGCCTATGGTGAGTTGTCCAGGGAGCTATACTCATCAAGTGGTGTCCGTCAAGGATGCCCACTATCCCCATTCTTATTTAATTTTATCATAGATATTCTTATGGAGGTTTCCCTCTCGTCACCTAATTACACAGACGTTGACCCGATCACAGGTGAATTTTCCTTAGATCTAGAATATGCAGATGACATAGTCCTGTTAGGTGAAGACGCTGACAAGATGCAGAGTCTTCTGAACACTTTGAGTGGGAATTTGAGAATGTTTGGGATGCGATTTTCACCACCCAAATGCAAATTTTTGCTCCAGGACTGGTCTTCAGCGGTACCGCGGTTAACAATAGAGAGTGAAGTGGTTGAGTGTGTTGACCACTTCACTTACCTGGGAAGTAGGATCAACCCGGTGGGTTAGTTGCCGATGAGATTTCTGCACGGATACAAAAGGCTCGATTGGCTTTTGCCAATTTGCGCCACCTATGGCGCCGCCGTGATATTCGTTTGTCTATTAAGGGTCGCGTGTACTGCACAGCAGTCCGCTCTGTTCTACTGTATGGCTGTGAAACATGGCCATTGAAAGTGGAAGACATGAAAGGGTTCAGGTGTTTGACCACCGTTGCCTTCGTAGTATAGGACGTATTCCGTGGTGTCACCATGTGAGTAATGCAGAAGTTAGGTGTAGAGTTTTGGGAGAAGAGGTAAGTCAGTCGACGAGGTTGTGAACCTTCATCGACTGAGATGGTTGGGACACGTACTACGTATGCCTAGTCACCGATTGCCTCGTCACACAATGTTGGCTGAGGTGGGTTCAGGCTGGAAAAAGGCCCGAGGTGGCCAGACTAAAACATGGCACCAATGTATGAAGTCTCTGACTGTTGGTTTAAGCCATGTAGGACGATGCAGACTAGGTGGTTGGGGTCCACGGGACAAGAGGAACCAGTGGTTGGAGACCCTAGGTGATATGGCTCAGAACCGAAGTCAGTGGCGCAGATGTATACACACATTATCCTCATCTTAACAACGCTATACCGAATCTCACTATTTTGTCACTCCTCTTTCCTTTCTTCTCGTACTTTATATTTCTTTTGACTGCATTCACTTATCTTCATCCTTCACCTCACTACCTTTCTACTTGATGAACTGATGTGAGGTGTGGCAACTCGGACCGTTACGCAGTAATGCCTCGTCCAATGTTAATAATGATGATGATGACTACTAATCATTAAAGTTTTCGGTTCAATAAAGAAAAAAAGTATCACATATCTAATGCACAAATATTTAGAGAATGAAATGTCAGTAATTCCAAACTACTGTGCTGACATCTCTTCTAAACTTGCTGAATACACATAAATAATGAAAAACTTCTCAAGGTAAAAGGATAAAACTCAAAGCTAATCAAGATGGAGAAATGTTAATGCATCAAGAGTAGGTGTAGTCAAGTGCACGAATGATTACATCTTTCTTTGACTGTGTTGGTGAGTTTTGAACACTGACAAATGCATGCACTTCTCAGAAGTGATTAAACGTCTAAAAGACTTCCACTTTATATTTCGACTAGCTAGGAGTATGTTCCAGTTCTCTGTTTGATTAGATGACTTCATGAAACCACTCAAGAAAGTGACGAAGTCCTTGTCTGTCGTCATTTGTCTCAATCACTTGTTATCCCAAGTGCATAGGCGCAAAGTTCCTTGTATCGATTTTTCATTAATTCCTGTGTTGCTCTACATCTTCGTTGACCAGTTGTCTTTCCGTTTAAAAATCGTGGTGTTGTATAAGTGCACAGAGTGATTGGAATTATGAAGGTATTTAATACTGGTGATCAATTTAAGAGTAAATGTCATTATGTTTATGTATTCCAATCGGAAAGACGTCAGATATTGACAGTGAATCAGTGATACGCTCCGGATATAACCAACACTGCTGTTGATGTGATGTTATTGTTCAAGTCTGAAACAGTACTGGTTAACTGTGACAATATTTGGTTTGTTTTCACTATCCATTGGTTATCTTTGGTGTATTCGATAGTCTTATGAGATTAACTATGTTCGTAGCATCATTGGAAAAATAACTCAGTGTTGAAAATCTCTTTTAATGGTTCATATTCAGCGGTGTGGATTCCAATGTAGTTATGTTATTAAATATTGTGAATAAGATGTTTGCAAAGATGTGGACGAGCTGTGACAACTGATACGTCTTTCGTATACAGTCCAATAAGTATTAGTTGACAGTTGAGGTATTGGGGTGTGTTTGTTGATAGGAAAGAACTTATCCGATCAGTTGGAACGAATAAGTCTAGTTGAATTTTTGAGTTTGCTGATGAAGACACGATTGTTGATTTTTTGACTGACTAACCATAACTGTAAGTACCAGGATGTGAACGTGACTGTGAGCGTATTGCCATTTGGTTACGACTGCGACTGAATGTTGAATAGTGGGCGTGGTGAAGCTAACACTCATTTCTATCAAAAGCCTGACTGGATTATTGAATCGTCCACCTATGCAAGGTGTCGTAATTCAGAGGATCATACAGTCTACGGTGACAAGATAAAATGTGCATGATCCTGCTGCTCACTATTAGGGGACCGCTTTCCGTTGAAAGCCAAATTAGCGGATACGTGGCTGCAAGACGAGTAAATGAGGTAAATAAAACATATGTCTGACAGTGATGATTATGTCAGGATTTTTGCGAATGAATTAATGTGGAGAAGCTAACGAGGTTGTCAAATCTATTTTAATGTTACCTCAAGATAAACAGCTTCCATTTTGTGTTCAGGTGAGTATCAAAACAAAGATCGTCTGCGTCATCTTCCCTGTGGACACGCATTTCATGTAAAATGTATTGACCCTTGGTTAAAAGGGTCGATAACTTGTCCGAAGTGCCGTGCTAGTGTTCGCACTGGGTTAACTCGCTTGGAACGGGCTCGTCAACGACTGGTCACCCGGTCAAACGTTAGGACTTGTTCAAGAACAGTTCCTGGAATAGCACTTCGTCAGCGACCAAGTGTACCCATTCCAAGTACCCAAGAACAGGTATGTTGTCTTTTTGTTTTATGTGATCCGATACGTATTCAAATGCTCTATCGATAAAACTTTTGTCGAAACATGTGGAATATACTTCGTCAGTAGTTTTCTTTCATTTGTTTTCCCATGTTCGTTACTTTCACAAGGACATTATATACAAAGGATAGTTGACTTATGAGATTTCCTCCAGAATTGTTACCAAACTAAATCAATGGATTGGCATCGCTTGTGTTTATGAAGGGTGGGATGCTGTAGCCAATCGCAGTTCACTCCGAATTTAGTGTATGGATGGAGTTGAAATATGCTGAAATGATTTAGTTTTGTAGACTGGTATAGTTTGGTTGAATCGTTTGTAAAGCAACATTTACCTTCTAGATAGTTTTCAGCCCAGTTAGAGACCTACTTCACAATAGGAAGCACCAAAAATCTATTTTGTTCTAGCTCGCAGCTTTTCAGAAGTGTACATACACGACAACATAAAGGATGCAGCTCAGGACCGTCATATTTCGTAACGAGCACGTAACTGACTATTCTACCATCAAACTGCAATCGAATGGTGAGAATTTTTCAAACATTCCGCTCCAAATTAGAATTTCGGAAATCCAAACTGAATCTAGTGCTCTCTGTTTTCCATTAGTCTTATGGCTGTCATCAGTCCCTCAGGAAAACTGCTGTGGAAACAGATCGGTTTGATCTGCTTTGACTGGCTGTAGAAAATAAGACAGCAGATGATCTCCCCTTCCTCTGGATTTAAATTATACTCTCCAGTAGTGCAGCAAGTTTAACTAATAACTTCTATGATATGTATGCAAACTTAGTCTTCGTGAAGTCTTCAGTACAGCCGATAACTGAGAAGTTAATAGAAAATACTCCTCACACATGTGATTAAATTAATGACGATGAGTTTTCTAGGATGTTTAGAATTGCGCATATTGAATATATGGGAGTGTACAAAATCATGAGCCGAACCTCTTTTTCTAGGAAATTCGTCCTACTGGCATTCCTGGTGTGTTCGAAAGCTACATATAGCCCAGTAGTCTGTAACCATTTCTCCGTACTCGGATATTTGTTCACTCTTAACTTTTTTCCGTTTGATGCAGATGACTGTCAGACATAGACGTCTTCGAGCTGTCTGAGACAGAGTTTGACAATATTACTCAGTCATCCAATTAACTTCTAGTGTTTAGGTGAATATGCCCAAAACATCAACAACCTCTGTTCCCTCGTTAACTCACCGAAACTAACTCCACGCCAGCGAGTGTCGATGGACATTGTAAGGCAGATAAGCGAATCATAATTTCCCTTCAACAAGTCAGTTAGATTGTTGCTTCTGTTAGCATCTTCTGGCGATGTCAACTCAGTGACGTCCCATATAGTTGACCAGGCTGGTCTGGGTGTATTCACTCCATAACACTAAAGAAAATCCAATATTTTGTTTGTTTTCACCCGTTTGTTCCTCCTTCACCTATATCACAATAATTTGTTCTGTCACCTTTCTACATCTCATCTCTTCTTTCTGTGTTGATGTCAAATACGACAACTTGGACGTATCGGCTTATGTGCGAGGTTCTGCCATAATGTTTTTGCCTGTCACCTCTTTTGAAAATGTAGATGTCCAGTGACTGGATCTAATCAAATAGAAAGTCACTTGATCCTCATATTTGTTCGTGAAACTTGTCTCACGTGCTTCTTTGTCAGCAAACTAGACTAACCGCTTCCAATGGTGACGTCAACAAAGTTCGACAAGTCTTCGACCTGACGACTCAACCTTTACTGTTTCTCGATCATTTCGCTTTCCTTACTCAGACTTCCTAGTCGACTGCAACTGACACTCACCGTACAGGCTTCTGTTGAATTAGTGCACTTTGCTCTCCATATCATTTAAGTCCATTTCTCAGCATCTACAGTTCTGATGAAGAATCCTAATCACAAGAAGTAGGAATTGATTTTGCAACTGAGTCGTCACCTACTAGCATCATTGTATTCTCAGTAGGAACTACTCTCGACTAGGCTACTCCACTGTGTTCGCCACAATTGTTCAGTGGCAACCGTCACATTAGTCCTAAGTGAAATATACGGGAGAAGAACTGTGATTGTGATATTAAAGGTTACTGCCTTCAGTCAGGTGGATTTATTCTCATGTCAGTCAGAGGTGTGAATATAAGCTGAAATCACCTCATGATTACGGGCTAAGCAAGTGTTGAATTATGATCGGCTTAGCTGAGTTCATGATGTCTTCTTCTCCTAGTCAGCTGTGCAGTGTGTGTTCAAATGTACTGCAAAATCGTTGGTAGCTGATAGCCTTTAAGGTACTCCAATAGCCTGTAGCTAGAAAGTTCCGTCAAATCAAGCATTTGGTTATCAATAGACAGTCACAGTGTGCAGTCACTGCTACTGAATCAATGAGTTAAAATCTGGAACAATCCTGTAGTACTTACACTCCACACTCTTTGATAAAATGTTCATATCACAGTACTGGATCACACGGTTGATTACTTCGTTAGAACTAGAATCAGTGTTGTTCTGATGAGAAAAGTCTCGATGAGACTTATTTTCAATATGGCTCACTTTACTGGTGATTTTTGTGAACAGCTACTGTGTGTTTTGGACGTAAACCTAGAGGTTTTGATATTAGTTGAACATTTGAAGTAGGATTGTGAACACATTGACTGCATAATTGCCAAGGAATTATGAAACAACTGTATAACCAATCTATGGAACAGTAAAGCATACAAATATCTGACCACCTACTAATATTTGTAGCAATATGAACTCACTTTACACAGTATCTTACTACACAAAGCTTATTTGCATGTTTCTACCGACATGCCAGTAGGTATGTGCGTTGTTCGGATGAAAGTTGTTTTTTTCGTTTCAAAACCGTTGACAGAATCGTTCATCACGTAGAGGACAAGATTCGAGCTGTACCAATCGAAGTCGAGGATGCAGACATAATTCTGTTGGTGATACCACTTCTGTCACACCAACTGTTCGAATTACTCGTGCACGAAGCAAAGCTACGAATGCTGATGGAACAACGTCTACCACTGCTCACCGTCCTACAAATACTGTATCTAATCGAAAAAATCAACGGACTACTTGGCACTCGAATTCCTCTCAACCAAACACTTCTTCGCATAGAACAGAGGCTACTCATGAAAAAGATGATGGAAATGGTCAACTTCATCCGAACTCTAAACAAGCCGACACAGAAGCTAGTGAACAATATCGGAATAGAGTAAGTGAAATTCTTCAAGTCTCTCTGATCGTCTTGTATTGTAATAGCATAACTCCCAGGTTAGAATAAGTTTTAATAAACACGGAGCTTAAGCTCATAGCTATTTCTATTCCTCCCAACAGTTTGAAACTGAGGCAACGTGGCTTACACTAGACAGAAAGGCGATGGATAACAACTGCTGGTAAGAAGTTTACTAATGAAACTGATTATCAATCTGAAATAATGTGCAATGTCTCCGTTTATTGGGATGGGCCTCGTTACGCATTACACTACTGATTTAGGGGATGGCATTCTGAAGAATAGCAGCTCATACACTGTACTTCTTGAACCACAAAGATTTGCGAAGAAAAGTTTACTGTTGTACCTGTATTTAGGATGAGGTTTTTGTACAAGAATATATCTGACTAAGATAAAATGTACACTCGCAAACAGATTAATAAATAAACAGTTAACACAGATATTCCGTGATTCATTTACACATATGACTGGTTAAAATAATGGAGTAAAGCATGCTGAGATGTTTTGAATTTATCCACAGTCATAAACGTAATATTGAATAGGAGCATACTTTATTCAGCAACCAGATACTTTTCTATCACAATAATGGTTTTTGAAAATATCTGTCTCAGTGGAGCATGTACAACAGCAACTATCCAATCCTACAGACCATTTAGCACTGTTCAGGGTGTTACGGAATAACATAGCAATTGAAACAGGACCAACACCGCCGGGAACTGGTGTAATCCATTTAGCATTTTCTAACGCTGACATAAATTCCACATCACCAACACACCGAGATTTACCTAGATTTTGAGGGTCTGTAAAGAGAAGGATTATTATTACTATCAACATTGTTGGAAAAGATATACTGCTAAAAAATGATTTTAACTTGGCTTACTAACAGATATTACGAAGTGGGCGGAATAGGGCCATGGACTAATGTTCCAGCTTTTTTGACAATCTTTAAAAATTCATGTTTCGTGAAAAAGTAGTCGGATGGTTTTCTAGTGAACAATGTTGGTTGTGGTAATCCCTTGTCACTAATTCAATAGACTCGCTAGCAAATTAAGCTGTCAGAGATATGATCTCTGGCATCAATGATCCTTCAATTGGAATTTCGCATTTAAGACTGCTCCGAATGTCTGAAGGAAAGGTGTACGTCCGGTGTGTTCTTTGTTTACTGTCTTCCTAGAATAAACTTTCACAATGTGTCACTTAAATTGCAAGATTACAAAAGGTATGAAATCAACATTGCATAAAACTTGTGACTTGCTGTTACTGTAAAATATGTGCTATAGCAGCTGTCTTTTCGTCAAGAATGACCTTATAAAATCAAGACACTTACTGAAATATAATTGTCACCTTCTGAAGCAGATAATACTTCATACTGGTGAAAATTTTCCAACATGAATACGAGCAAATAAAGACGGTATTCTGCAGTATGGAATTTACAAGCATTACACTTCATGTGTACATATACATACTACTAAGCTACAAAAGGGAAAGGCGAGTACTGAAGTGTTACCCAGTAACAAAATACTTGAGTTAGGTTGCAAAACCGCAGTCGGTAAACGCAATGACCATTGGTTCATATTTTTGGCGTGATGATAATTTTGATTGTCAAGCTCTTCAGTTTATATTTCGAAAACAGTTCACGCTTACTTGACAACCGAAACCATTCGTTTGAACAGCTTCAGCCCATGCTTATCTTCCTGAGTTTCTTTACTTTCAGAATACAGAAACTTATGTTCCCCAGTGAAGTGATCGGTTTGCACTGATGCTTACTTGCAATAATCAAGAGTTATTGTGGAAAAATATATAAAGACGCATATAATGTTACCTGTCACTTAGACCTGATCACAGTTGTTATAAATATCCGGTTACCTAAGTGCGCCTCATCGGGTTAACAATAATGTGACTCACTAAATAATCAATTGATGCTTTCATCGCACATATAATAGAACTTTTGAAATGGAGCACCTGTGACTAAGGACGAAAGTTGAAATGGTAGGTGTATATCATTATTATCTCCCACCCTGGTTTACTGATGTATATAACTGCAGTTCTATTTTCAAGGAAATATCAGTTAGTTTTTTGAACAATTCAACTAGTCGGAAGGGAAGCGAATGACAACTGAAGACCTTGATCGACAGTCACGCTGTATCGTGAATTGACAGAAGTTGGAAACTGTGAATCACTGAAAACCAATCCAGTGGCTGAGTGGTTAACGCGATCGCCGTGAAACCTGAAGGTCCTGAGTTAGACCGCTAGCCGGGTAGTGGCTGCGTACTGCCGAGGAGTTCCGTACTAGGATGAAAAAGCTGCTCAGTGCTCCCAGATTTCCAATGGTTCTCCAATTGATATCAGTCCATGGTGAATACTACCTCGAAATCCAATTATTGTCATCAACGCATATGACATAAATAAATCTATCTATCGATATATAGTCAACCACGTCATTTTTCAAATACAATACACCAGCTACACAAATAAGATAGACTTAAGTGCTATTGAGGTTGCTGATAATAATATAAACTAGGGGGGAGGAATGCTATACAGATTAACATCCACAGGGAAGCTCTATTGTGGGCTTCAAAAGGATGTTCGCCCACCAATTGCCTTCAAATATATGATAATTCGTTTAAAACCATACATCATACCCTTGAATGAATTAATAAGTTTGAGGACATTCGAGTTACTTACCATTCATAATAGAATAGCCACAATCAATCACTAATGCACCTGGCTTAATCCATTCACCCTTGATTAATCCTGGATGACCAACTGCTGAAATAATAATATCTCCACGACTTATATCTTCATCAATATTAATGGAATCTAAATGACACTGTGTAATCGTTGCACCACATGATCCAGATAACAATTCAGCTGTAGGTGCACCGACAAGACGACCACGACCAACAATGACACAGCGTGAACCGATTATAGGGAAGTTCACATGTTGAATTAGAGAATAACATGCAGCTGCTGTACACGGTATGTGGATGTTTTTTTGTTTCAAACCTTTACAATGAGGACACAGAATGCTGCCACGACTCAATAAAGCCGTATTATACGAGTTTAAACTGAAATACATAAAAAAAACAGTTACAAGTGGTTATGAAGAATTTATTCGCTGTCCTATTGAATACAAAGTTGCATAGAAAGATTCATAACCGAGTCAAAAAACGTTTGTGCTTTGATAGCGCCACATCCTCTATCTCAAAATCTCTCCACTACTTATTACACAAAACAAAGGATATAATAAAGAGCGAAAACAAATATCATTTTCTAAATGAAATGCATCAACTTTAAATAGCCAAACTACCACTAAATTATTGAGACATAAAAGTGATTAACTTCTTGCTGTGTGGTCTAGAATACCCACTGGTGAGTAATCTCCAACATTGATGATGACTGTCATAAGATATATATTCTCCACTGATCACGTAACCGAGATAGACGGTTATAATAAGAGGTAGAAAATGAACAAAGAGAATTATCTATTTTGGATTGCAGAGTAAAATGAAGAACAGACGGCGGGTTTAGATACTACCGTCTACAGGAAGCCGATACATTCTAACACGTATCTAGACTTCAGGTTATCTCATTCAATCTCAGTTAAGGTGGGTTTAGTCTAATGCCTAAATAGTAGAGTTAGGTAACTCACTATTCAGTGCAAGGAATGAAACAAGAAATTCAAATACATAATTAATAATCATCCTCAACAGTTTATGAAGAAATTCGTATGAATACATAAGAAATGAAATAATAACACTAATACGAATAGGAATAATAGCTACAACACCAGTAGAAAGGAGTTCACAGCTTCCACTGTGTTATGATATAAAGAAAGAACATCAGAAACTTTATGTAGGATTTCTCAACACGGATATTGAATCTACAAACTCCCTCACAGAAAAACGTTATCTGCTTAAGGATCCGAAAGACCTCATTGAGCGAAATAATCTGATCTACCAAATCTCATGCAATAACTGTGACGTACATAGGTCAAACCAGCCGATCAGGGCCAGTTAGATTAGCAGGACATAGGAATCGAGCCAAATCTATAGTGACAGACCCCAATAGGATCAATAATCTAGAAAAAAACGGCTGTTGCAATGCATGCATTAACACAACCACACAATAGGGTGGGATAAAATCACTGTAATACAATTAGGTGAAGAGAGAGATTGACTCCTGGATTTTGTTCATTTAATCAATTCCTAACACATGCAATAGGAATGACGCAACACCTATACCGGGGACATAAGACCTTACTACTACTAAAACCAAAGAATATGAGGTGTTAGGACTATAAAACTCAGATGTCCAAAGTTATGTGATCACGTTGATATGATTATGAGCAATAATTTATGCTCGAAACATCATCAAGTAAATAATACTGTCTCACTGTGTGCTATACCGAAAAGACTAATCTAATATGGAGTTATAATAAAAACCAAAAATAACACACTGAGCACAGGCTCAAAGAACCTTGAACACAAATTTCGCAATTATTAATCATAATATTTATTCACGACTAATAACTACAACTAGTTACGTAATCTACAAAATATGGACAAGCCAAAGTATCCATACACACAGAATTCCACAATTCTATTACTGGCATATTAACCAGTAAGGCTAATGAACTCCAAACTAATAGCTGATATTTTCAACTTAAATGGATTCATATTATACAGAAAATTGTAATCTAACTAACTCCAGAAAAAATGATCCCTCATTAAAGCTTGCGGCAGATGCATGAAGACTTACCACTTTAACTTAGTGCGATTACTAATTTCACCATCTTTAATATATTTGATGACAACATAATAGTGCAATAAATCTGTTGCGCATCTGGTCCCTAATGGATATCAGTTTAAAACAGACTTACAAGAGACGTATTATAGCAGTAAAAATCTGTCATTAATAGGAAAATATACCAGCTTCAAATGTGTACATAACGTCAACTGACTCACTGACTGTACGACAACCTACAAAGAGTTATACTACTCTGTGTTATATCAGTTGCGGTATAGAGTACACAACAAGTATGGTACGCAGTTCAAACCGATGATTCGCGAAATACTTTTACAAAAGACCGTTAGGTATAAGTAAAGTCTCAATGTTAAAAAGTCAGCAATAGAGGTTAGAGTGCTCCCCATATCATTTATTGTTTCCTGTTAATCAAACTGACTTCAAAATGAGGTGAACAGCTTGTGAGACAATGCTATGAGACAAGAATTAGTTGTCAGATGTAAATATTTGTTAGTGTATAACAATTCCCTGGGGATCATGTGATTGACTAGCTTGCAATGTTATCAGACTTATCTTAGAATTAAAGTCAGTGAAGGTAGTTTTACAATTAGTTGATTTATATTTGAACATAAATATATTAACAAAATCCTATTGAAAGCTTTCTGAATATATTTCATGTGACTTCTCCTTTTTTTAGTAATTCTTTGTTCACTAAGCATATTGATAATTTTGTCATATTATTTTGTGTGGCATATTTATTAGTGGTCGTGGTGAACCGTATTCAATTACAACTTCGGATGCATTGTACAAATTATCGTTATGCAAATTTATCATGAAACTGTGCTTTATCAAGTTCATATATCAACTGAATTCATACTGTTTATCTATATTATTTTGCAATATCTAAAGGTTGTTCATAATACTAAGTTTTGATTATTATCGTAAAACACATAAATACATATCATGTAATATTGGCTAGATAGCTTTGTGGATTACAAGTGAATAAAGGTGACCATTCACAAGGACAGCGAAAATCCTTCAACTGAAACATGTCATAGGTTGGAGATGACATTCAATACATAAAAGTCATATCAACTGTTCAAATCAAAATGAGTAGAGTTGAGTTCAAATCTGTGGCACAATATCCAGGTCATATACTAATGATTTACAGTCCCAAGAACCAGAAACAAAAGTCATGTATTTAGAAAAGGGGTCATATAATTGTCTATCTTCTTTACTTAAATGCTTACAACAGGTAAAGCTGAGAATATCAATTCTACATGATACAATTGGTCGGTAAAATTAGTATCCTTAATATTATTCTGAATTTGAAATGCTGTTAAGCACTTCTGTGATTCAAATATATCATGAAAATTGTGTCTATTTAAAGTGAAAAGGATACAGACATGAAACGACTGTAAGATTGATAGATGGATAGTAATTTACTTTCAGAAAAGTTCATGTCATCATGTGAATTGATCTACATAGCAAGAACATCAAAGGAATCCCTTCACAAATCCTATCACCGTTAGAAGTGTGAACAAAATAATTCATATAGGTAGTCATTCATCTGGATAGTAACAAACGTTTACAATAATGAACATACCCTTCGACATCTTTTTGGTTAGTGACAGCATTCAACAAATTGGTAACACTGATATTCATATCCGAGTCTAGTGGAAGCTACATTTACAGAAGAAACCATAAGTTAGGTGAATGATTAGTGGTGCAATTTCAGTGAATTAATATTATCATACAATTATCATACAGTAGTAGTTTTAATTACCACATATATTTGACATTTTGCCAGCAAATAATAGGGTGAAGTCGAGTTATTCACATAGCGTTATGGCCAAACGGCTTTCTTATATCCTTTAGTAAATTAGGAAACACCTAAATACTCATAATATGCTTGATTCACTTAACTTTGTGGATTCAAGACAGCATACCAGGTGAGCAGAAAAAATTGTTTTCTATGTGGTTTTATCGAGAATACTTATCTTGATGGTGTCATTACAAAATACTTAAAAGAACTGCTTTTGAGATGTGCTCTCAGCATTCAGCTTAAATTATAAAAGGATGCAACTGTAGAGAAGGTTGGACACACAGATCAACTCAGAACGTGGCATAGAAGTGCATTAAATCAGGTTGCGAAACTTCACAGCTGCATGCAAAGAAGTGAAGGGAAAAAGAATGAGATAGAAGTACACGAAAGTCCATGGGAGAAAAAAGAAGAAATAAATGAAGTGAGTGAAAATGTTCAGAAATGAAAAAAGTACATACGCCTGCTGGATAGGGCACCATATCGCCACTCACTGTTTTTGTCCAACCTAATCCCATCTCAACAATGCAAATCACAATGGCTTGTAGTTCGGGATATTTTCTCGTTCGATGAAGACTCCCTACCCCACTGCCTCACTTCCTTGTTTACGCTTGACCTCAACACTACTCATGTTGGTTACGGCACACCAGAGCAACGCTACGAGGATATCTATGAACTTTTTCAACTTCAACAGACGATGAAATTCAGTTGAGGTGTGTTGATTGCTACTCAAAACTATTAGGTGAGAGTGTGACCATACGTGGTCCTCTTTCAGCTGGTTACTGTGTGCAGAACCAAAACACGATTTGTGACACAACACAGCTGACTGTTAGTTTCCACGTATATTAGATATATGAGCAATGCATTCAACGAATATGATGAGAATGCCGATATTGATATCATAAATGATACGTTTAATGATTGCTATAAGTTGACCACCTTCGGGTTAGAAATCAAGACAATCCACAGGCAAATTCACAGTTTCATTTTTAGGATGTTTTGTCCAAATAGAGAATATGTGGCCCTCCTTAAAAGTTGATCTACAGGAAAACAACATGGAATGGGGAGTACAAGAATTTTTGTAGCTGTTGAGCAGAAACAGAAATCTAAATCATACTTTTAGTGTCGAATATTAATTGAATTCGCATAAGTGACACAAACGATGGATCGACTTTTAACAGATACTCAAGAAAAAAAAGCCTTCATCCTATTTCGAAAACTGTCTTTCATAAATTTTGATTTCTGAGATAACATCGTAGCAGAATCGGTTGTTCAAGGTTGGATCTACGGGGCTAGTTATACAGACCAAACAAAGAGTGCATTATCCAAACAAACGACCATTATCTTGAGAAGCGAATTTAAATCAATCACTCATTGCAACTTTTCAACATCTGATGAACTACGGCCACAAAATTCCTTAGAAGTTTGGGTTCAAAATCGTTTAGAGGGTCCAGCGAAACAGCTCGAAAAAAACCTAGATATGCTCGAGGCTCTATTGATTCAACTCAAACATGACTCCCGTGTGCAAAAAGAGGTATGGCCAAACTCTTATCCCATTATAACCTCACTTTACCCCTATTTTAATTTCATTATGATCAATCACTTCAGTATCACCGCAATCATTCTCATCTTTACTCTTTTATGAATCCCTTTCATATCTATTAAGTCAACCACCGATTATCTTACCTTATATCTACAGATAACATCACCTTGCTATCTTCTATACCTATCTTATTATTTTCATTATCTTAAAGGTTATAACATAATCTCTCCCCCTATCTCTAGAAATCAATTCGTAAACATCATGTAAATGACTCAACTCCACCTCAATATTTGTGACTCCAAGGTCTCTCCTAGCAACTGACGAAATAACCGATTAGGTTTCTTTATTTCGATAAGAAAGGTAGTTTTTCGTAAAATCAAGAAACATGACTGATTGTTTCAATAGTTGCAGCGGTTGTTAAAAGTCATCCTGTCGTTCAATAATAAACTCTCAAATCTGTAATAAACATAAATACGATCGTTAAACTTTGGAAAATGATATTAATGAAGAAAATATTCTCTTCGCTAGATTGTCTCTCTTTAAAATCAGATAAATTGTATTGAGTATAGTAACAATAGTAGACTAGTAGATGAATGTTGCTAAATCATCGAAATGTAAAACATATACTTTGATTAAAATGTTGACAGCTTGTTAATACATATATAAAGTGAGAAGCGGCATAAACCACCGATTTACAACTCTAAAATTTTTACTTCGAACAATTACCAATTTAAACCTTGAACAATTCATCAAGACTATCTAAAATGCAGTAAGTGAAAAGGAGCTCAAAGCACTTAGACTATTATTGAAAGTCAAATGTTTGAACCATTCAGTCACAGATACTTAAAACAGATGTAAGTGGAAGGTTATATGAAAAATAGTGGTGAACGTATGCGCTCACGCAGCGATTTATCAGGCAATTTAAATTTGCGTCCATTTAGCTACACTGTACACTACATATGAATTGCTATCACTAATTGATTGGACCATAGACAAGTAATTAGATAATTATAATAGCTGTGCTCAACTCGGAAATCTTCTTGTTAAGGGAATAAAAACCAGAATCGCTGTAACTCCCAAATCTAAAAAATCTCTCCACTCCATATTACGCAGAACGAAAGACTCAATGGCAAGGTAAGACAGGTTCAGTGTAATCCATAAAATAAACCAGAACTGTAAAAAACACTAAATTGAACTAAGAGGTCACTCTTTTTATGTTCGTCTAAAAGAACACCAACTAACAGTGAAAGGCCAAGAAATATTTTCGCTCAGATCAACGCACGTAAAAATTGCAGAAAATGTGCAATCTTGGACAAAGGAAACAAAGTCGGTCAGTTAGCATTACCATGGTACTTGGCGTTACTGCATAGAGGTATAATTTGCCATACCTTATATCAACACATCACGTGGGAATGCACCGAGATAAAAGATAGGGAAATAAGGAAGGAAGCAGTCAGAGGTGGTAGAAATTCATCAAGAGGAAACAAAGAGGAATGAGAGAATGCAGAAATTCGGTAAGATGATTAGGTTTAAAATAATATGTCAACGCATCTGAGCCACTGAGATCGGTTCTGAGTCATATCACCTAGTCTCCAATCACAGGTTCCTGTTTTCACATGAACCCCAACCAGGAAGTCTATATTTCCCTTCGCAGCTCAGACCAACAGTCAAAGACTTTAGGGATTGATGTAATGTGTCAGTCCGGTCGCTCATAATTTTTTCTTTAACATAAACCTAATTCAGATAACACAGTATAACCAGGTAGACGGTGGCTAGGCTTGTGCAGCACATCCCCAGGCCACCTGAGTCGACAAAGGTTTACAACCTCATTAACTGACTCATCTCGTTTACCTAAAACTCTACACCTGACCTCCACGTTTCTGAAGTGGTGTTTCCACGACACAAAACAAATGGTTTGCAGGCTGCGGTAGCTAAATGCCTGAAGCAATCTGATTTCCTCTACTCTTAATAGCCTTGCTTCATAGCCTTATAGTAGAAAAGAGCATACTGCTGCATAGTATACTTGACTCTTAATGGACGATTAGATTCTCGCCAGCACGTCGACGGTGCAAGTCGGGAAATGCCAAGAGAACCTTTTGTTGATGAGCAGATATTTTGTCTGTCACTGGCCTAACTTCCCGAGTAGGTGAGATGATCAATGTGCACACAACCACTTAATATTGTTGGATGGGAAACCAACGCAGAAAAGTCCCAGAACAATAATTTGCCTACGAGTGGTGAGAAATGCGGTGCCATAAATGGTGCACGTCGGCAATAGACAACTGAGGCTTTTGTATCCGTACAGAGATTTCATCGGTCACTGACGCACGATAGTTGATTTGACTTCCATAGAAAATACAACTAACACGAAGTATCTTTGAGAATCTTGTCATTCAGTTCAGTCAGTGTTCAATAGGCATACTGATACCAACCTAGTCTATCAACTAAAATGAAACAAGAGAAACAAGAAGTACCTCAAAGTACAGATCAGCAGATTAGTCAATCGAACTACAAACGCACACAATAGAGGCATAATAGAGAAAACAACCAATAACACTCAAGGTCAATGCGATAGACTAGTAAGCCACATATGAAGAAATCTTCATGGCTCAATTAGTTTGGAAGTTTGTATTGATGATTTCGTCCAGAATAACATTGAGGACTTCATGACTAAACCGAAAATCATCCTTCTGAGCTATAAATGTTGTTCACTATCACCACAAGGAGCATGATGATCGATACATTGCCGTGGTATTTATACCTACACGCACATACAGTCTAATTTGCAGGGTAAGTACGAACTTCTAAAACAAGCTGTTAAGTAAGGGGAGTAACAATTTGCTAATCTAAATAATTATTCCACTTCTGCCGAGAAGAGGGAAGCTTCATCGATCGAAAAGCTTTTTAGTTATTCGATTTCTGGTTTGTAAGAATAAATATGACCTGGAAATAGTTTTAATCGCGAACTGACATCAGTTGGAGAACCATTGTAAACCCACGATAGTTGGAAAACTGTTCCACCTAGTAACAAATAAAGGACCATTCAGTTCGAAAACAATGGTCAAAATAACAACGCGGCCACCACGAAACCAGATCGTAGTGAGGTCGAATCCATTCTGCGTGTGCATTGATGATGGACTTCCCCATTAGAGAGAAGCAGATATCCAGTGACCTCAGGTTCAAAATGCTCCTCCAAATAATGTCAATCTATGGTGTAAAACGGCTTTCAAACTCACATATTATCATGTGCATTGAGCCAGGTAGGTAGGAGAAATATCTGCCACTACACTCATCAGATGATCATCAGGCTTCAACAGATCTCAAGATACAGACACATGTTTACTGGAAACTGCAATACACTTCCATATTGTTCATTTGCTTTTATGCAAAACATGTAAGATAATTTTATCACAGTAAATTCTGCAGCATGAAATCTCCAAGTTACGAATTGACTGGAGTCCTTGTGAAATTCAGTAGTCACAAGAAGCGAGCATACTGTTTTACCATTGTCAAGTAAGGTAAAAGACTCTATCAGCATTTGTGAGTAAACAGCACCTAATAAGGAGAGGATGTCGAAATCTCACTTGTGAATAGCTACACAAACTGTCAACAAGTAGTGAGTCACTAAGTGATATCGAACTGATGGAATGGTATAGATACCAGATGCCCATAGCACCTTCAGAATCGTGCTCGGCCTACGTGGTAACAGAATTGGAGCGGAAACTAGAAGAAATGTTGATAATAGCCATCGAAAACTAGCAGGGGTGAGATAAAATCAAATAATTTCATGTCACACCTTAAATTTTAGTTCTTTTGATTGCAAGGCAGTCTTCAACACGGACTGACATCAGCTGAGCAGCTGTTTCATTCATTGTAGGACTTCCCGGTAGTGCGCACTTACAACCCCATGAAATAGAGGCTAAGACAGTCACGTCTCATGAAGAGCACGTTGGAATCCAAGGGTATATACCATGCCTCTCCTGTGAAAACGGTACGTGGTGCGAACAATACCTACTACTTCCAGGTTTTTAATGTTTTTCCAACTGATGTTAATCTGTGATGAATACTACCTTGAAACTAACCAACATCTGAAAACTTCCACATCAATTCTTTTGAATATACAATCCACCAATATGCATTAAGCATCAAATAATTGTCAGTTTTGAGACATTAGGAAGTACGCTTATCAAGCTACTTTAACTGTATTGATTACGATTTCTACCCACTCTCAAAAACTATAACAATCATAGATCGAGATGAATCAGGAGGGATCACATCTGATCCCAATTCTCTACCAAAACTAATCAATTGACCAATCAATACTGAATCTTATTAGGTTCAGAAACCGTACTTGTCGGTTAGGTTCATATCAAAAGCTGTTTATATGTCACCTGGTTAAGTGAATCTGAAAAACTATAAACGAAAGTGACACCCGTCAATACCTATCTATAGGCTACACAGGAAAGCCTTTTGTCCTCACTTTAGAGGACGCAATCGTTGAGCTGAAAAAAACTTGTTAATATTGCTATGAAAAGCGAATACGTTTAGATATAGTCGTAGTGGCGAAAAACAGCTAATACTTACAGCCTTATTTTAACTGATTGCTGCCAGAACTCATTCAAGTTGGCTCCAACTACTAACAAGAGCAAATGAAGCATAAACATAGACCGACTAAGAGTTCTCCTAATCACCAAGATCAGTGGTGGGTGGCAAAGGTGAAGATGGAGACGGTGTCAGATTTGGGTAGGACTCGACAATTAATGAGGCTTATCAAAAAGACTGGCTCAAAAAGGACGATAGTTAGCGAGAATCTAGCTGAGGACAAGGATGAATTGTATTTGCATTAGAGAGTCATGGTCTGGAGAAACGATAGACTGGCATAAACCAGGGATTACGACTGTCACCATTATTATTTAGGTGTTACAGACATACTGATAGATATAAACTCATTCATCTTCGGTTTCTTATTGCAGGACTCACTGGACGAAAATCGTTCTTAATGGTGAAGAAGTACACACTTCGAAAACTTTACTTACTCCGATTTCTGTATTTCGTCTCCTCTTATACATTCCGCCAACTCTTTTATTATTCTTTTCCAATGATTTACTGTTTATGTGCAGGTTTCTACGTTGATTTGTGTTTATTCACCGTCTCATAGCTATCATGGACCTCCAAACACTGGTAGACATGGAGAGACTAGCTTCAACGTTCGATCCATATTTGCGCCGGATAATGGGATATTTAAAATGTTCCTAAATCTACAATAGATATCATCCAGGTCCTTTGGATCGATATCAAGTTTAAAAACATTTCCCAACCGATAGCTTCTACCTTGGTATGGTGGTCGGGCTTGCATAATACAGTGACCCAAAGAAATAAGCTGTTGGGACGCTTGCTCCCTCAAGATAATACGATACCAGAAAATTCAATTGGAGAGTGATGAGACGAAAAGGAGTTACCTTAATATTGTAGATTTTTACGCTTTGGTGGGATCCGAGGGTGAAGTCACACTGATGGATATACGGGCTGTGACAGCAGTAAGGTGTTTTCGGTAGATGACCAAAAGCACCATGCTGATGATGCCTTCTACAAAGGAATAGGCGATTAGAAAAGGACGACCTTAAATATAGCACTCTCCTCCACACCATGGTATACAGGTGCCAACAATACACGTTTATAGTCGGATTAGCAAAAGACATACTATTAAACTTCTAAAAATGCCATGTATGACCAGGTTCAAGCAGATGTTTCTAAGGCTCTATCGTTAAGCACTGACTTTCTCTAGGTACCTAACTCAAGAAGAATCGGATAAAGTGAAACATGAGCTCTACCGAAAACTGTCTGGCCTACTGCTGAAACCCGTACGTTCAGACGTGGCAGTCATTGCAAGTGATTTCAGTGCAAAATCAGGTAGGCTAAGTTACGCAGAAAGACACGGCACACTCCGAATCCCACGAAGACAAACAGCGATCGCACGATACAATTGTGGTCCGACAAAAATCTATTTCTCGCAAGTATGGACTTCAAATATAAAGATAGACCTGGCGTCCACCAACTTCAACTTAGCGGTGGTCACACAGGACATACTGCTATCAGTTACAGCAAACAGGTATTTAGACTTACCACACTTCACAGTAGTGCACAGAGAATAGATAGATTATCTTATCAGGACTTTCAACCACTTTTGATTGCTTCTCTTTCTATTTTCTATATATCAACTTACTGTTTTCTCGCTTGATTTGCTGATATGGGACGTGGCGACTTGAACCATTGGGCGATACTGCCTGATGGTACTTTGAGCTTGTCTATCGGTGTGTTATAAAATGTAGTGAAATAAATTTGCCTTAAATTTTCTTCGTTCATACATGGTGCTATACTTCATAGTTAAATAAACAAAATCGAATGCAATCTAATTATCGGTACTAAATGTACCCATACATCACGGCGAAAACCACGCGTGTAACACAGCTTTAAAATGACTGTTAGTACCACAATACTCTATAAATCCGGCGTATTACACGCAAACTATCTAGGAAGTGCAGTTACATGGGAGATATTTAAACTGAAATTAAACCGTTTGACAACAGAAAACTAGACTACTAAAGCAATGATACGACCAGAAAATTCATAAACGAAATCAGAAGTCAACACCATACGAACTCCATGACAAACCTTTACACAACAACCTGACAACTTGCCTGTATAGCGATGCCATGCACTGATGAATCAGCGTTGAGCTTGCAAATATAGTCCAGAATCTTGGATAAACATTAGTTAACTGTTTTCTGTCTTACTTCCGACTCCGTTAATTGTGGTGGAAATCGTATATGTGATAAAATTACGTCATATTTGCTGGCGAATTTATACTTTTGTTCAATGTACAGTTTTGACTGTGGTAGATTACCAACCTACATAGAAAAATGAATTGCATAGATTTCAAAAGTGTGTTCTTAATAATGAATGTTGAAAATCACTGTTAGTCATATAAGATAAACATTTATTTTCAAATTGACTACCTCGTTGTATAGTGTAAGTATTTATGGGACAGAAGTCAAAATTAATGGTAGAAAACCAATTATAATCATTACTTACGAAGGAGTAAGTGCCAATTAACTGGGATGAGCAGAAAGACATATTAACTGAGTTAGCTTTGTTACAATCTTGAATCAGATTTCTCCCAAAGTATGGGTTAGTTTATCTCTTCTGCTTAAACATTTCCCAAGCAACACTGCAGAACTACACATTTTCATAGCTATCTCTTTAACACACTCCCTTTACTTGGGTAGTGGAGATAATAAAGCAATCACTTCAGTATAACTGCTAGTGATTAGCAAATAAAATTTATACGTTAAAAGTGTCTTAATGATGAATGATCTGTCTGGATCAGCTCCCCAACTTTTAAGGAAAGATTATAAAGTATGACTTCAAGATTCATCACTTCAATGACCTAAGTATCAACCGAATAACATTTGGATACCATACTGAGACTAATTTTTCCACTTTGGCTTACATATGTAAATAGTAAAGATTGCATATGAAATAACTACGACTGGAGGCCAGCATGCGAAACGGTAAGTAGTTAATAAGCTCCACGTTAATCACCATGATTACTTCAACAGACAAAGATGTATGTGTTTGAGTACACGGAGACTAAACTATCAGCTTGCTTTACATTACTAATCAACATATGTGTATAAATGCGTAATTGTTTCAAAAATTATATTCCAGCACTTAGGTCGGAATGATGGTTGTCAACACAACATGTATCACAGTATTGTAAAGCTCAAAGTTCAAAGAATGCTGTGCAGTTAATTTGCTCATAGAAAATTATGTTAAATCTGCCTCAAATTATTAACACCCTTCAACGAAATATGTGCACTATTGCCTCATAAATAGGGGTATGTGATACTTGCCAAACAACCAATGACGTAATCAAACTTTGAATCAAGACGGGCAAATTAAAAATTATAGTGTAAGTAGTCCATTAAATCAAGCTAATTTTTCAACAGAAAAGACCACATGAAATACATTTCTCTTGGGGATGAAGAGGTAAGGAGAAACAGGAATTCCATAAAAGCAATACATTTGGTATGATGCAATTAATGCTAATGGAACAATCTGGTACATGTTTACGTACTAGGCTACCAACCATACCTGTTGCATAAGGGTTTACGATACTACCCGGTCGCCTAGGCCAAAGAAGGCGAAGCTGAGTTCGAGCTGAGGATATCCGCTATCACACCTTTACTACGAGGTAATAAAACCTTTCTAAAATTAGTTTCCGTAGACGGACCCTATTCATCCAGTTTATGAGTGAATGAATACAAAATACGTTAGACACGTCGCATACAACTAATTACATCAAGGTAATTATCTAGTTTTTATAGTTATGCTAACATGAATCAATCAAGAATTTTAAAGAGCTCACAAAAACTAATAACTCCTCATTTTGTAATGCTGAGCAGTTGGACAACCTCGCCTGGTTAACTAGTTCACTAGTTACTAGCCGGTCCTAAGCCCGGATAAACAGAGAAGGTTGGGCATAGGGCTAGCGACCCTACCCCGTAAAAACAATCCAACCGCTAAAGAAACTTCAAAGCACAAACGGAATATAAAAAGTAAAAACAAAATTATTCCTCGCTGGAATCGGGGAGACAAAATGACGCCAGTTGGTGAAAGCCTTCGGGAAGCCGATTGGCTGATGTATCTTCTCTCAGTGAAAGGGGAAGTAAACGTAGGGACATGGGATGTCAGCACTATGTTTGAACCTACTAAGGCTACCCAGATTGCAAAGGAGATTAGAAGGTATACCATTGAGGTGCTAGGAATCTGCGAAAGCAGGTGGAATGGAAGTGGACTCTCTAAACTGTCAACTGGAGGGCAAATAATCTACTCCGATATTGTCACCCAGATGACAACCACGAGCACACTGAGGGAGTGGCCATCATGATGTCCCCGAAAGCATCGAAGGCTGTCAAATAGTGGGAACCAATCCCCTACAGGATCATGACAGCAAGGTTCGACTCAAGAAGAAGGAAAGTCACAATCACTCAGTGCTATGCACCTACATATAATGCGGATGAAGAGAAGAAGGAGGAATTCTACAGACAACTGCAATCAACACTGGACAAGACCTCAGTTGGCGACATCAAAATTCTAATGGGTTGGGTGACATGGATGCCAAACTGGGAGGGGACAACACAGTAAGAGAACTAACCATGGGTCGAGAAGCACTCGGTGAAATCAACGAGAATGGAGAATCGTTTGCAAATCCCTGCGCATTCAAGGATTTGGTGATTGGAGGCACTGTGTTCAAGCACAAGGATATCCACAAAGGACATGGATTTCACCAGACACCAGGACACATTAAAAATCAGATCGACTTCATCTCAATCTCAAGAAAATGGAGACGCAGTCTACTTGACACAAGGTCAAGAAGGGGAGCAAATGTAGGTTCAGACCACTCACCATCTAGTGCAAGGAACCTTTTAAATCAAGTTAAAAGCCTTCAAGGAAGTTGGTGATAGACCACAGTTCAAGTACAACACCCAGAAACTGAAAGACAAAACTACAAAAGACATCTTCACGGCAGCCATCAAGACAAAATGGAGACAGCGAGCAACATCCCTGAAGAAACCTGTGTGGAAGAACACTGGAAGTCTTTGAAGGAGATGTGGAAAGAAACCTGCATAACCGTATTAGGAAGGAAGAAGGTGGAAGACAAGGAATGGATCTCGATAGACACATGGGAGCTGACAGAGGACAGGAGGATGGTGAAACAGAAGATGAACCAGTGGAAGGATGCATAACGAAAGGAAGAACTGAGCACAATGTATAAAACACTGGACAAAGGAGTGAAGAAGAGTGCGCGCAAAGACAAAAGACACTTCTACGACACACTGACAAGTGAAGCAGAAGTCTGCAGGTAGGAGAAATCTAACAACATGGTATCAAATAACCAGGTTACTATCTGAAAAGAAAGAGATCAACAAAGATGAAACTAATAAAAGATGATGAAGGAAATCTAATTACCAAAGAAGAGAAACAAAGGAAGTAATGTGCTGACCACTTCAAAAAGCTCTTGAATCGACCACCACCTGCACTTCGTCCAGAAACGCCACCTCCAACCACAGAACTACAAGTGAACACAAATCCTCCGACGAAAGTTGAAGTCCTGAATACCATAAGGCTACCGATATGCAGAAAAGCAGTAGGACCAGATGGAAGTCTTCTTGTGACAACTATTTGGAAATGACTTTGATTAACATCGTGGCCAACACCCTGGGGTTCATAATCATCCGATGCGTAACTGGGGCTCCGCAACAACAAAATCAAGAGCACCAGGCAGTTTTCAAACCTAAACAAGAGTGCATCGACTAGGTTTTCACCCTTCGGAGGGTCATGAAACATAGATAAACGTACCGGTGGCCACACTTGCCATATTTCTTGACCCCAACAGATATCTGCTACCTTGACGTGGTGGTCAGGCTTGCATATCATGATGATCCAACGAGCTGCACTGGCTGGAACGCTAGTTCCCTTGAGGTACTACCATACCAGAAAGATCTGTTGGATAGTGGTAAGAGGAAAAGCAGTTACCGTTATAGCGTAAATTGTTACGTTATGATGAGGGGGTCTGAGGGCGAAATTGTACTGCTGACTGGACGGGAGTGAGAAAACAGTAAGATGTTTTCCTTAGATGACCAGCAGTGTTACGCTAATGCTCCCTTCCCTATGGGAAGCAGGAGTAAGGAAAGGTCAGTTCCCAAAATAGCACACTCCCATCACTCCACGGCATCCCGATACATGCGTCAGGGACTCATAGTCGGACTCCAAAGCGAAGAAGCAAAACATCAAACCCGCAAAAAGATCATGTGGCCGGCCTCAGGCAGATATCTACGAGGCTCTGTGGTCGCACACAAACCCTTCTCTTAATCAAAGGACAAGTATACTGCGCTGCAGTCCGTTCTGTGGTGATACATGACTGTGAGATACGGCCGTTAAAAGTAGAATATACTCAGTGGTTACAAATCTTCGAACAAAGATGTTTTCGAAGCTTTCATTACGTATGGTAGAATCATCATGTTAACAATATCGAGGTTAGATGAAGGGTACCGGGCAAGGAAGAGAAGGTGCTCGATGAGTTTGCAAACCAACAGCGACTAAAGTGGCTTGGACATGCACTGTGCATGCCGAGCCACTGCCTACCTCATTGTGCAATGCCAAACGAAGTTAGATTAAGTTGGAATGAGTATCATGGGAACCAGACCAAGAAGTGGCACCGATCCATAAAATCTCTGACTGTCAGTCTGAGCCGAGTAGAAAGAAGGAGACTACCTGGCCAGGGTCCCCGAGACGAAAATAACCAGTGGTTAATGACTCTTGGTGATATGGCTAATAATCGGTCACAATGACACCGATGTATTCACCCTTTAAAGTCTTCTAAAGCTTGATTACTTGCAGTAACCTTGATCTTCAAATTCCTTCTCCCTCATAAACCTTCGTCTACTTTGATATCAGTCTTTTTCCATCCATTTTTTGCTTACATACTACTGTGAAACGTGACAACTTGGACCGAGGTGCTTCTGTGCGAGGCTCCACGTTGATTTTGTCAGTCAGCACACGGACATGTGTTTGATGGTTTATATTCTTCCTAAAAATAGAGAACTACTACTCAATCGGTCCGGTAATTCATTTGCAATGGCACTAAAGTAAATGCCAAAAGTTTCCAGTACTCAAAAAAACCCAAAAAATCAGATAAATATTTACTTACAAAGTATCTGTTGGATGAGAATTTATACAGCAAAATATAACTTTTTTATTTAACCACGGAAAAAGTTATATCTCCAAACACAAACAGCTAACATTAGTACTCATTCACTAGGAACGCTACAAGCATTTAGTTGAAAATTCTTTGGCCAGTAGCTACTGTTATTTAGAAAGATGATATCTGAGATACACTTGATTCAAAAACAAGATGTTAAAAACAAGTGAGTAGTTTTCAAAAACTGAAAATGTCAAAAATGAAAACCTATTTAGCTTACTTCTATAACAACTAATTTAGCAGACACATTGAAATTTGTCTTCAAATAAGCAACATCCGATTGAATTTTTCGACCGATAGCTAAAACAGTTGTCAAATATTAACAAAAGAATACCTTGAGCAATTTCCGACCATACAATACGACTCCTTTTGACATTATCGAAACCAAAATTCACAGTATAGACAATTAATGTGAACAGACTTAAACATTTAGTCTGATCATTAGTACCAATGTATTCTAAAACTAGAGTAAATTCCTAAGTTAAGTGTTTGTATACAAAACAACGATGATCCATTCGCATCTGTTACGTACAACAAATAGTTAATACCAAGGATAACCGTTGTTTATGACATTACGACTAACTTTGATTCTGTTTAGGGTTCTTGAGATAATAGGAATCAAAGGCTGGAGACACTTGGTGACATGGCTACAAATCGGTCACAATGACACCGATGTATTCACCCTTTAAAGTCTTCTAAAGCTTGATTATTTGCAATAATCTTCATCTTCAAAGTCCTCCCCTATACACCTTTGTCTGCTTTGATATCAGTCTTTCTATCCATTTGTTGTTTGCATGCTACTGTGAAGTGTGACAACTTGAATCAAAGAACTGTGACTGACTGACGAAATCTACGTGGAGCCTTCTACATAGGTGTATCGCCAGAGTTAACAGTAGTACACACAAGTGGATAGAAAAAGTGATATAGCACTTTGTGCAAAGTTCTACGTTGATCTTTTTGCCATTGATTCTATGGGCAGACTTGCCCATAAGTTTTTTAACACCTTGGAGTTTGTTCAAAGAATATCTCATATAGCATGGGAGCACACAAGCACCTATCTTTTGTTACAAACTAGCAGTAGGATCAGAAAGGAATGTTAAATTTCAACAGTGAAATCAGTCACCTTCTTATGAAAGGGTATGATGGTGCAGGTCTGCCAACAAAAGAATTACTATTAAGCACTGAGTATGAGGACGATATCATTCAACTTTGTGACGATATAAATATTAATCAAATTATGCTTTAACCCTGTCTGCTGGGTAAGACATAAAAAGTTGAGTGTACAACTTCAACAAGCCAAAAGTCCTGCTTCACACATGCAAGATTTAGTCTCCCTAAGTTAATTTGTCAGTTTGAAATTCCATGCCGCGAAAGTAACCTCGCCAAGATGAGGATATCCAACGACTCTAAATGTCTGAGCACCACCACCTGCGATGGGCTGCTCGAACCCCACTTCGAAAATAACTTTTAACAACTCTACCAGAGGCTCATGTTGAAGTAGTACGAAGATTGCTAGTCAGTAATTTGTGTTGCCTTAACAGACTGGTCTCCATTTTTCTTCATCCTAGAAGCTGGTTTATCAGTAACTGTTTGCTAACTCTAGGACAGGTTGGGGGAAGTGGTCAGTAAATCCTGTGGCTCCGTAGGATAAAGGCTGCCATGCTAAGCTAGCATGTGTCGGTACATGGCAACTTTCTAGGTAAATTTTAAAAGGTAATGAGACTAAACAGCTTGTAATGTTATCAGACATGAAAGGTAGTCGACATCAGTGAATATCTTGCGCATTTCTTAATGTCACATCTAAAATATTACTTGAGTAAATACAGTACATCTCTTTTACTTGGTAGATACCAAACTAATTGCGCTATAGTCTGAATATTTGTACACCTTGAAAATGAGGACCGACAGACAGATAATTCAGCAACCATGTGGATGATCATGAGCCACACAATCAGCTACAATTATCATGAGCCCTTTCTAATATCAGTCTTCCCAAGCCTCGATACTTGGAGTGTGGCTTAGACACATGACCTAACGATGAAAAGCCAACCACACACACCAGTAAGCCTCAGATCTACAAATGAGATTGACATACCTCAATATGTAGTGAGTATTTTACAGAAATATGAAGTATGAATGGATTTCAAAGATAGGCATCGAAGCTTCGTGCACTTAGTGCTTCACATTTAACTGTCGATAACTATGTGTTAAGATGTAGCATAGGCAATCAAATGAGAAATATTAATCGTCAGTGTAAAAGATAGTCACTAATGAACTGTTTGAATGGTATCTACAGTTTTTATAAACTGCAGGATCAAAATTCGGTCTGATAAAGTTGAACAAGTTAAGCATTGGGATTATATGAAATATATGAAATAATTCCACGAAATCTCGAAACGTCAGAATTTTATCTTTCTACCTCGCTGGCACTTTTCGAAATCTGCAGTTAATAGAAACTCAAGGTTTTCAAGAATGATTGGGTAAGAGTTAAGAATTTAAGTACTGGACCTGACCACATAAATGGACAAGGTATGTGTCTTACTGCAGACACTAGGGTTGGGGAATACAGGGATGGAAGAGCATATCGTCAGTTGCTACAGACAAATGTTCGCGGCAAGCCATTTGCGTTCACGTACTCATCCAGTAGTCGTTTGAAGGAGTCAACTGATGCAGCTGTGGCTACTTCGTTTTGCAGGGCGTTCCATGAGGCATATACTCTGTGGGAGAAGTTAGATCTTCTTCCCATCTTTGTCCTGTGGTGAGGTACGCGAGTGGAGTTCCTGCGAGACTGTCGGTTTTAGACCGATAACATTGACCTATTTCGATGGTCCACTTGGTGAATGATCTTGTTATCAGATCACTCCGTTTCCTTCGATAGTTTAGTGTGAACAAGTTGAATTGTCTGAGGCGTTGCGTATGTTTTTCCTGTCAGTCCAACAACCGACCTTGTCGTTCTTCTCTGTATGTGCTCGAGGGTATTCGAGTCTTTCTTTAGTATCGGAGGGGTGCTATCGTGTTGAACACCTCTAGTTGTGGTCTAACATAGGCTTTAAATATCAGGAAAAATAATTCTGGGGTTAGCGCTCCAAGCGTTTGTCTTTGCTGCCATTCCCTTATAGTTATCAGAAGTATCCAATGTGTCGGAGAAGTTTAGTTCTAGGTCCTTCTCTGTGGATACCTTCAAGATTGCACATTTGTTGACGGTGTAGCTGGTTTTCGTCGCTTCCGGTCTGCGAAGATACATCACCTTGCATTTCTCCGGGTTAAGGCCTACACAGTTTGCAGGTGACCAGGACTCCAGTAGCAACAGACCGTCTAGGAGTATCGTAGGATTCTCTTACCTACCTATTGGTCTTCATATTTTGATGTCGTCGGCAAATAGGAGGATAGATGAGATTTTAATGGGAAGGTCATTAATGAGCAGTAAAATTAGGAGTGGTCTAAGGATGGCTCCTTGAGAAACCTCTGTTCTTCCACTTCTCCAGGTTAACTAAATTGTTTATCTTAGTACAGAATTTTCTATCCACTAGATATGCAGTAAACCATGCTGAGTGGTTCAGTGGTACCCACTTTTGCAAGTTTAGCGAGTACGGTGTAGGGTGGGACTCTATCAAATGTTCTACCCAAGTCTGGAAAGACAACGTGAACTGGTTGCTTGTTGTCTTATCTAGTGGTTCAGTCGTTCCAAGAGGTCGTCAAGTTTGTGGTGCATAACCATCCGGTTCTGAAGCCATGTTAGGTGTGAACGATTTTGTTTCCGTTTGGGTAGCCCCAAACAACGTCCGCAACCATGCACTCCACTACCTTGGATAGTACGGGAAGTAATACTTTTTGGTCTGTAATTGCACGGAAGGTTTTCTCTCTCCCTTTGAAGACTGATTAGAGGATAGCACATCCCCATTCTTTGGGGAACTGACTTACTTCCGACGGGTGAACGAACAGGTTTTATATGGGTATGCTTAGTACTTTGGTACAATTCCGTATGACCACAATTCTTGTGTCATTAAAACCCGGAAATATCCCTATTTTCGGTATTGAAAATTTCGCAAATACTTGGTTTGACGAAACCTTTACGTTCATTAGCTTTGTATCGCAATCCCTGAACTTGTTTACATTACTAGATGTTGATAAATGATGCATCGCAGTATTGAGGTGCTCATCAAATCGGCTGCTCAACATTTCGGCAACCTCACTGTCACTCAAAGGTTCTCCGGTCGTCGGTTTTCGTTGTGACAAAGACCGTTATAGGCTTTTCAGATTGCAACTTAGCTGTTTAGTCAGGTTACTCTAGTATGTGTACCTGCCACTACAAACGCCTATATTACATAAGTCACATAACGTCCTATGGCTAAGAAAGTCTGATTCCCTGTATGACATGCATCACCGATGCCACGCTTTTTTCCCTCAGTGTTTGCTTTTGGGTTACGTGAGTTACCCAAGACCACTTGAGGTGGCCGTCTGGCTAATTTCGGAGCACCACTTTCGGTAGCGCTATAGGTAATATCTTTGTTATGTATATAGTGTTCGTCTATTGATAGTGAGTGTCATTCCTAAGGCCATGCAGATTCCAGGAGGTCATTGTTCATGAAATGGTAGTCTGCACTTTGGTAACAGCGAAACACTTCCGGCTCAACTGATGATAGTTGTTTCTTGGTTATCGAGGGAAATCTCACCAAAGCGTGACAGCTTTTGCTTAGTGGGGTTGGAGGGAATAAAAACATATCGGCCATCAAAATATCATCGAGTTAGGACGTAGTCAAGTGATAATCCTTCTCTACCTGTTGTTTTTCCTAAATTCCCTCCATTAGTCTGGTAGTCACAAACGTGTTCCCAAGTCTATGTTTAGAAGATTCATATAGGCAACTAACTTCACATACCGTAGCGTATTCATTTGAATAACGACGAAATACAGCTGCAATACGCAAATATCCAATAACTTTTAAGAGCTAGTGTTAACCAATTGGCTTCTTTGCGCCAGCTTCTAGGTCTTGTGGAACTGTTCCAGGTCTAGCGGAACCCGATGCAGTATGCCTACCCATTCGGCTTTTGTAGCTCTGGTTAGTGCGACGGGTGGTTGGGTGTTGACTAGATTTGTAGGGATTGCGTGGTTTCTTCAAGGACTGTGGTGCAAGTGGGTCCCACAGGTGTAGTGCCATCAGGCACTTGGTCGGATTGGTCGCAAAAAGAAGATATAAAGGATGTGCAGATAAATCAGTGGAGAGGAAGTACGAAGAAAAGGAAACAAAAAACGATGAAGTGAAAGGAAGCAGGACAGAAGGATAAACCCAGGTAGATTCATGGGAGATAAGCGATAGGTAGAAGTTCTACTGAATAGTGTGGGGACACAAAGTCAGAGGGGAGAGAAGGAGCAAGTAAGGTTATAGGACGGCTTGTAGGAATAGAGATAGTAATACTGTTGGTAGGAAATG